TCCCTCCTGGGACCTACCTGGATCCAAGTATCCATTTATTTCCCAATATGGGCTGGAGGGATGAAATTCGGAATTCATAGATCAACCATAAATTTAAGCTAAAAAGAAAAAGAAAAGAAATTTTCTGACTTGTATCCTTTAGGGTGGTAAGATCCAAAATTTTTACATTTTAAAACTAAAACTCGAATCTACATATTTACTTTCCCATTATGTGTTATTTTTTAGTGGAAATTACATCTTTCCAGAGTTTTAATGCCTAATTCAAAAGTCAGAGTAGAAAGTTTTTGTTCAAAAATTAGATGATAATTTAAACTTTCAATATTATAAAATTATATTAATTTACCTCCCCCTCACACACCCGCCACTCACGCCCACAAGCCCTAATTCATCTTTCAAAAATATTTTCTTTGCTGCCTCATTTTCCATGTTCACTCCACCATCCTTTCGGTGATAGGCGCACAACCAATCAGGGGCGGACTCAGCACCCGGCGAGGGGGGGTGGCGCCCCGTGCTGGATCCGCTGGAGTCTTAATACTGTCGGGAGCTGCTGAGTTGCCTGTTGCAGTTTGCAAAGAGGACAAAGAAGACGGGAAGAATGAAGAAGAAGATCTCAGGTGGGCCTTTTTTTTTTCCCAGTTTTGGCCCATTTGTTTTGGGTTGAGAGAGTTGGGCCTCTTTTAACCTGGTTCCATAGTCCAAAATCATAGTATTCACTCCTTCACTTCTCCATCTCCGATTCTCCCTGCTCTACATCCACCAATCTTAGCTGGTGCCCATGTAAAAATTTAATCCAAATGTATATAATATCTCTTAATCAGCGACTCTATATGTCGAATTGATTGCAAGAATGGATAGGGTTTTAATTGAGAAAAACAAAAACCCAAATCCCATATTAGGGATTTTTGATGAATTTTATTTTCTGTTAAACTTCTTGTGTGTTCTTCATCTGTGATTGAGAGAAGCTTGTCCGTGGAGTGATGTTTTAGTCATTTTTGGGGTTTCTTTTCCTCTAGTTATGGATTATGGATTTTATTTATTTGTTGCTTATCTTTTATTTGTCAAGTGCATTTTTTCTACAAAACTTATATTCTTTTGTTTTCCAATTTTTTCATTATAATAAATATATGAAGATGTGGAAATTCCTTGTGCTTATTCCCAATCCATGTCTCACGACTTACACCTTGCCCCTAGAGAAATGGTGTGCCTTTGCCCTTTAGTGATTTCAATCCTGATTCTTTCTCCAATTCGTTCCATCACATTGCTTACCTCAATCTCGTTAATTAAAATGTGTTTCTGCAAATGATTGGCAGAAAGAAAAGGTTGTTTAATTTTAATTCCCCCATCACATTTTCCCTTAGAAGATGGCCAGTAAAGACTAATATATTATCTCCGTCCTAATATCTCTCATAAACACAGAAGTGAAAGTGACACATTAATTTTATATCTTCCATCCAACTTGCTTTTCCATTGATCGAGTCTTGATGTTACTTAGATGGTCCTTTGCCGGTTGCTCACTTGCTGTGCTGTCGGCGCCGCTGCTGCTTGAATTAAGAAAACAACAAGAATTAAGAAGATTAGCCTTCCAGTTTGAAGAAAACAACAAGAATTAAGAAGATTAAAATTTTAATTTTCAGTTTTTCACCCATTAGCCTTTTCGGTAATTCTTGTTGTTTTCTTGTAACGGTTGTAAGTGTTTGAGATTGTGATGTTGGGGGAGAATAGGATTGCTCGTGGGCTGGTCCAGTGAAAGGTCATGGGTTTCGGCCATGCCCATACGTTTTAGCGTGTTTACATATATATTGAATAATTTTTAATATTATTTAATTAAATATTAATAAACGATATCACTTTTACGATCGCTGATTGTCGATGGTCAATGATCAACATCCGCCTGGGTTGAACTTTTGTGTTGGGTCCGTCACTGCAACCAATGACCAATGCTCACGATGTCATCATCGATCTCTATAAACCACGACGCAATTGATCTCCTACCTCACGATGTTTCTTCGCAGCCACTCTTACAGTCAACTCCATTCTTCTCCCCCAAAAGGGTTGCTTTGCCTCTCAAAACCCACCACCATTTCCACCACCATATTATTAAATTCGCAGGATGACCTAGAGTTCCTTGACGTTCCCATCTAACTCCCTGAATTTCACTATCATCTCGCCTACGAGGCGACTACAAGTACTGCAAGCAAGTGAGACGCCTGGTTGCTGCAAACTCGAGATTAGTGGTGTGATGGTTCTTGATCTGAGAGCGGCATTGAGCGGAATTTTTGTGTTTTTCGGTGAGGAAAGGGGTTGCAGCGGCGTTCTGGTTTTGGATATGATCAGAGTACGACCGCACACAACCAAAGACGTTATGGTTGTGGTGATGGCATTTGTGGATCTGATTTGTTGATTTTTTGGGCTGTTGTGGTGGTGATTCTCTTGGATCTTGTTGGTGGCTGTGGTTTTGGAGTTGAAAATTTGTTGGAGGTGGTGGCGGTGCTAGTGGTGGTGGTGAGGTGGAGTCGGTTGGTGCCATGGTAGATTGGATTAGGTGGTGGAGTTAATAGTGTTTGTGATCAATTATTTGAGATTGTGACTAATAAATTGAATATTTTGTGACGAAAATATGACACGTGATCGATAAATTGTGATCAATAAATAACATGTTACATGAAATTTTGAGCTGTGACTTATAAAATTTATGATTTGTGACAGATAAATAAATTGTGACTTAAATTTTTTTTATTGTGACCGATGAATAAATATTGACCTATAAATTTTGATTTGTAACCGTAAAATAATTTGTGACTTACAAAATTTTTTACTGAAAAAATAATTTGTAATTAATTAATTTGATAATTGTGACCAAATTGTATAGAATTGTAACCTTAATATATTTAATTAATAAAATATATGTTTAATTAATTAATTTATAAATAAAATTTAAAAATATCTTAAATTTGAAATTTTAACTTAAGTTCTTAAATTTAAAATGGGTGAAACTAAACCTCTTAATTATGAATTTTT